GCATCAGTGACGTACGTCCTTCACAGGGGCCCATCAGAGGTGTATGAACAGATGCTACTGATTCAGAGTAAGATTTGATGCCTGCCTAACTTTTCACTGAGTGGCAGTAATGAGCTGAAATCAGCTGCATAGGTCACAGCTAAATTGCAATACTTCATCTCGCCACTAGGAATAAAACAGCTCTAATATACATATTTATTGAATTACTTCTTTACGCACAGATATTTCTTTCAAACATTGTAGTGTAAGAGAAACACTTTTAAGTTATTTTATTATATTTTATGGGTATGTCAGAATATACTATGCACCTCCATGTTCTGATAATAGTTTGTTTTTTATATAACTACAATAACAGGTTTTAGGTTGATTTATCTATTTGTAGTTTAGACAGAAGAACGAGTTGCGTCTTATTCTGCAATGTATCCCTTTACAGGAAAAGTAACTGGTTTCAGCAAAACATTAAGTAGCCTAATTCTTATGATGAAGGGGATTCAAAAGAGGAAGATGGAAATTCCGCTGGGCATAACCTTGAGGGGATCATTCCTTTCCTTATCTCTCTTGTTTGTTCTCCATTCCATGTTATTTTAATTACTCCACTTCTCAGTCTCACTTTTTAAAGCTGACTCAAAAAGTTAAAAGGAAAGATAATCTGCTGCTCAACCCTGTACATTACATGTGGTTGTGTATAACTGACTCAAAGAAATACACAAAGTTCTATATTTCTGAAAGATTAAGAAAAAAGCTGGAGTTAAAACAATGGTTATAATATCTTTACAGATACACAAATTCAGAAAGTTATATCAAAATGTCTCAATATGTATTTAAACGATTTAGATTTATTTACATTGTGTAGGAGAAAGCAGAGAGTGGTTTAACACGGGGTGAGTTCAGCTTAACCAATTAGAGTACATGACCATTACCTTTTTGAGGTTACAGTAATTCCAATAATATAAAGTATTTACATCCACACACAGGACGATGTCCAGTGCACCTCTGTTGAACCCACAAAGATCATAATAGGACAGTATTGACCTACAGTTTCCACAGTTGAGATGTGACTAACACACAGTCTACTATATTTTTAGAATGGTTATACATATTTTTTTGTACTTTTATTTGAATTAAAAGTAAAATGAAATTAGAATGAAGTGGTCATCATGGTGGATGACCCTAAGCCTAAGCCATTTTTAATAAGCAAGTGGGGTATCAGCGGAGTAGATTGTAACAACATCTTTGTAGCTGACATTAATTCACATAATTTAGACACAAAGTGTTAGTTATAAGAGATTAATGTGGAAATGTTATATCAACGTTTGAGAGACGCTGAAAATGTGTTACAACAACCACCAAACGTTAATGATGTAGAAAACACCTGACATTCATATTCTTTAAGCAGGCTATCTAATAACAATGCTTCCATCACTAGCAAAAGTTTCAAAGGTCACATATTTACAGATACACAAGATTGATTTTTATGGTTAAAATGTCCGAAAGAGTGGGCTTTAGCGGCTGGGATACCCTCGCACCTCTATCTTGTAATTTCAAAGAGGGAAATCCCTGGCCAGTGAGTCACGCGCGTGAGTGTCATCGCGGGGATTCCGTAGCTCTCGCTCCGCTATCTGACTCTAGACACAGTTACAAAAATCTTAGATGGCACTTTATTCCTAAACACCTGGCATATTCCACATGACAGTTTGTACCAGTAGCCAATTAGAAATGCCTGCTTTAAAGTCGACACATATATTTTCTTTATCATTTTCACAAGCTTTTCTCTATAAAAATGAGACCCACACCCATTAAAAACGGGAAATGAAAGTTGAACAGGGAGGAGTTATTAAGGGGTTTGTCCAAATAGCTGTAAAAATGAACTCAGTGACTGACAGTACTCTACGTTGCTGGGGGATCCTTTATTCAAATGAGTTAAGTCTATTTTTAAACGGTCATACATCACCGAGCTTACGTCACATAAAAAAACATGTAAACAGCAAAAGATAAAGGTAGTATCGCATATGTTGTTTCCAGCAAAAATACTTGTATTTAATAGCCTTTGTGTATTTAGTTAAATGACCTATTAAACGCTAATGTCAATTTATTAGTGGTCCTTTAACCCGAACACGTACTTTCCTCTCTCTCTCTCTCTCTCTCTCACACACACACACACACACACACACACACACACACACACACACAAAGGTACTAAAGCTGTAACTGGGTCGGTATCTTTTCAAAAAGTACCTTATTTACCCCTAAAAGGTGCATATTAGTAGTTGAAAGGTAGGTAGTACCTCAAGTATACATATTAGTAGGGTAGGCAACTGCCCATAGTGACAACTTTTGTACCTTTTTTCCCCCTGAGAAAGTCGGCTATTTCTGTCTTTTTTACTCCACCATTTCATAAAGCCAACTTATATTCCCCATCACTTTCTGCTGTATAAATTCTGTAAATAAACGAAAAAAGTCTCCGTACTCACATTTCTGAAAGTGCATGTCAGAATCCCTTTTGCTGTCTTTAATTCTCGGCTCCCACGCCAGGTGAAATGAATGATGTCAGTCAGAGCAGCCTCTGTTAAATGTCAACTCCTCGAGTCACTGCCTGTTATCAACTGATTCGGGCACGTTCCACTATGTATACACAGACCACGCTGTATTATGCCCAGCCCATCTTTAGCTCCGCCCTCTAATGCTGATGAGCTGTCAAACTCTAGAGCACGTTGGAGGAAGGAGGGCAGGTTTAAACAAAAAAATGCGATAAGCATACCAAAATGTAATTTATTTTTTATTAGAAATTTAATCTTTGAAAGTGTCTAATGCAAATTAATAACAAAAAGAATGACATATACTGTTAGATTTCACGGAGGATTTTTAAAATTGTATATCCCACTGAAGTCCTTCATTTTGTCCTAAGGAAGAAGATAATTTGAACTATTGTTTAGTTGTTTATGTGTATGTGTGCTTTTTTAGTTAGTTATTTATTTGTTTCTTTCTCTCTTCTCTTAAATGCTGTCTTACAGATTAAGATTGCTCTTCTTTCTTGTGTATGTGGACTTAATTGTTAAAATTTATTGTAATGTTCAATAATTTCTTCAATAAAGAAAAAAAAAAGGTGGGCTAGTTTGCGCCTGACAGCAACAGTAAGGGATGACAAAATGACAAATAAGTAGGCTATGTCCGAGATGATAACAAGGCGAAATTTTTTAGAAATGTAAAACTTAAAACTCATTTGTTTTTGGAAATGTCATCCGTGTTTCATGTTTTTGGTTTGATTTCATACATTTTTGAAAAACATTTCTTGTAGCCTACTAAAATATTTTCCAAGCACCTTTGATACAACCTAAAAATGATTAGTAATAATATTAAAATAATAATATTAAATAACTAAATAATATTAAATGTTATTATATATTAAATATAGTAAAATATCTTCCGAAAATATCATTATTTTTAGCAAAGAATCAAAATGATATTATATATTTCATCCGAGCAGCTGAGTCCTTAACCATCTTCAAGAAATGACTAAAAACACATCTGTTCCACCGTTATTTGACCCTCTATCTCTAACACTTTCTATTCTATTTTAATTCTACTTTACCTATATTTATCTTTTTTTATTTTTTATTCTTTATTTAAAAAACAACAACAAAAAACAAACAAACACTAGCTTTCTATTTTTTCTATTCTATCTACTTGTTTTTCTTTGTTTGTGTGTGTGTGTGTATAATATATATATATATATATATATATATATATATATACCTTGCTACGTGTACTGCGTTAGGCAAACCGAGACTTGTCATTTGCACTTATATATTGTTGCTCTTTTGTTAGTTTTGACTGCTTTTATTGTCCTCATTTGTAAGTCGCTTTGGATAAAAGCGTCTGCTAAATGACTAAATGTAAAATGTAAATATATTTCAACCTCATCATAGAAATAGTGTATTCAAGTAATTGTTGTTGGATTTCTTTACTGTTAACACTTTTGCTTTAAGAAATATAATATAATCATTTATATTAATTTAAAGGCACAATATGTAATTTTCGCCGCTAGAGGGCGCGTATTCAAAATAAACAAAGAGGCAAAGGCGTAGTTTGATGACACCGTGACTGAGTGTGGAATCATGGGAGTTGTAGTCTTCATCCCCGCAGCCGAAGCAATCCAACTCAGGCAGAAATCATGTTCATGGATGAGCTAATGATTTATTAACATAGTAGAATGAAGCAGGGTGAGACTGAAAGCCATCAAAGCGAAACGAGGCCGCTGAACGAGCGTGGCACACGGCTCGAAAGCAGCGGAGCTTTTATTATGCCACAGTCGACCGCTTCCGCTCCTTCCAGTCGTGCATATGTGGGGGGAAAAAAGCAGCGCTGTTTTATCATACTAGATACATTTGAAAGTTCTGTTATGCTACTCTGTGCGGTCATCATCGGTCTATTAAAACGCACAACATATTAAAGCGTCTTTGGTGTTTCCATGTTTTCTACAAAACAAAACCGGAAATTGAGGGGTTATGACGTCATTGGCAGGCGACACAATGACACTATGGACACGGTCCGTGTCACAAGTTAAAATTGCTTATTTCTCTGGATTTAAACATTCTTCGAAACATTTGGGATAGTGTAAGTACTCAAGTCAGCAAAATATATAACACTGTTCTAGTGGTTTTTGGATATTTTAATAAAAAAATCTTACATATTGTGCCTTTAATATAGACAGTGCTTCTGTGTAGAGTTAGTTTTGTCAAATGAATTTGAAGACTATACCTATACTTCCTTTTCCCCCACAAAAACTTTGATCTGCTAATTTGCCTCAGAAATGTTAACCATTTTGTCCATTTCCTCCATTCTCACCACAACACCAAAACTGTCTTCTGTTTCTTTTTCCTCCTCCACCTCCACCCACTCATCCTCTCCCAGCTGCAAAAAAAAAAAAAAGTGGAGACCTTTAAATGCTTAAGCTCGACTGCTGTTCACATTGTAGTGGTCTTACAGTTATTTGAAATGAGAAAGCACTCTTATTCGCTTAAAATAAACATCATGGTAAGCATGATAAGTGCACACTTAGTACATTCTGATGTAGTACTTTAAAAATCTAAAGAGATGCACATTTTAAATGTTGCATGGCCACTCCATACTAGTCTATTCCTGTAGTAACATACTTTTGACTAACCTCAGTGTGAACCAGCTAGCATTAGATCTTCAACAGCAAAATTTAGAGCCCCTCCATGACGTGTCCTTACAAATGTAAACAACATAAATCATTATGGGTATTACAGTTCATTTCTTTAGTGAACAAAAATCCTTTTATTTATTTATTTATTTCTAAAGGAGGAGTGGAATTCAAGTAGTCTACATGAGGTAGTGTCTCCTGGTATGTGTAGCCTACAGAACTTCTGTTTTCACGGAAAACTTCTGTCTTCATGGCTCCATCTAGTGACCAAAAAATTATATACATGTATAGCCTATATGCAGTGTTGCGCTAAATTCAGTTGCTCCATAATGTGGCATAAACAACATCATTACATCATCTACACATTAAAAAACAACATCAACAACAAATGAGATTTCATAATTTTATACAAAAAAAGTAGGATTCATGAAGAAACCAAGCTGAGATCAGCCCTACATGGATTCACTGTTGGCTATTTATGTATTCATACAGAAAGTAATTTCAGTAAATATGTGAATTTAAAGTAATAATGTTCTAAATTCAGTGTTTTAACTGATCATATCATATGCTCAGCAGAAACACAGATCATATAGAATATGCAGATAAACATGAGCATCATATTCTTGTTCATGACCATTCACATATATGCCAGATACAATATTCATAACCTACTTTATAGTCTTTATAGTAGATTTCCTAGTAACCTATAAACTTTATAGATGTCCATTTAGAACCCAGATTCAGTCTCAAATGTATCAAATTTAATATTGTATCAATGCATTCTATGGCACCTTTAATGTTCTTTCTTTCTTTTCTAATGGGCAGGGAATCAAATGTAAAAAAGGGACATCTGTCACAACGAGTTAATTCCAATATAACAATACTCTATAGTAAATATATTTATACTCCCTGAATTGGATCATAATTCAGTCTATTACAATTGTTATGTTATTTACTGGCAAAGACAGAGAGATATGTCAGCGGTGTCAAAGTCTGTCACCTCTGTACCATTTCCATTTGTGAGTGTGACACATCTGGAAATATTTTGTAGCTATAGTTTTAGGAGAGTGTAGTCAGGTTTAAGTCCCCACCAGAATATATAAACCTGTACACACACACACACACACACACACACACACACACACACATATATATATAATATTAATCTGATATGACACAGTCGATTGTTATGGTACATAACTGTAGGCTAGAGCATTGGTATAAAGAAATTAGGATGTAGTCACATGATTCATATCCCGGAAATACACTGCTGTCGATGGGGGAAAATGGCGTTATGAGCAGCTCTATACTGTAACAGAAGTGGGGCAGAAGAGTCAAGAGACAACAATGATTAACCCGCGTTTCTCGGTTTACCAAATGACAGAAACGCCTAACCTGACATTAGCCTAGACATAGAGTTGCACACTCGATTATGTAAGGGCGCTTCACAGATGGACAAAGACAGACTCGCAGTGAGTACATGCCAAAATAAACACGAGGAAGTAGCCTTAAAAGGGGCGTGTAATGTGTTTCATGGCTTTGAGAAATACCAAAGGCGACAAAAACGCAGACGGAAGCATTTTAGTGGCGTACCTGTAGACTATGTAACAGCACAGCGATAGGCTACGGATCGAGGGAAATGTTTTGTTATTTAGTACGATGTCTCGCTATCGCTTACCGTACGCTTAACGCTTATCATGGCATCTTGTTACGCGTACCTAAAGGTGTCATTTTCTCATGATGCTTTTTATTCTATGACCTCGTTATCCCATTGCTTGGAGTCATTTATTTATTTTAATCCAGTGTAAAGAAATCTGCATATGGGCCATTCCACCGAATGGGTGCCATTTGCTTCCAAACCTCTTCCAAAAAATAAAATAAAAAATATTTTAATGTTGAACATTGACTAGTGAGCTGACCTCACTGGTAACAAAAAGAAAAAAGAGAGAGCCCAAGTCATGTTTCTATTTAAATCTAGTGGTCTGCAGAGGTTTTTGTTAGGGTTATGTGTAGGGGTAGAGGACGGGTTATGAAAATAATAATGATAAAATATCATTAACCTGATAAAAAACCAAAACCAAAAAAACAATGGAAGTCTATGAGATGTCCTCACTGATATAGTGAAACACGTGTGCTGGTGCGTTTTATGTGTTAAAATATAATTTATTATAATTTATTATTAAATAATAATAACAAAAGTAAAATAGGCCAGTGTTAATATGAAGAAAGTTTCTGTATTGATTTTTTACACGCGTTTTACCTGTATTTTTAATAACTCGAGGAAAGGCCCATAAACTTAACAAAAAATGCCTTTTCAGTTTTTCTGGATATTGTTTTTTTACACCGCAGGTCACATTCAAACGCCATTCCATGTATGGGTCTAATACATAATTGCCACAAGACAGAAATTGCAAGTAAATTTTCTGTCATACTTGCAGGAATGTAATATAAAACAGCAATGCAGGAACAAACACAAGTTTTCTCTGGGCAAAAACGTTGTCTCAGTGTGGATAGAAGGCCAAAATGTAGAGAAAAAGATGCATTTTCAAATTTATCTAGATTAATATGGACGTAGCCTAATATTTACATTAATAAATCAGATGACACTACTCACTCCTGTTACTGTTACTTAGTTACTATATATGAGTATAGAATATATGAGTATAAGAGTAACAGGACTGAAAGTAACAGGATTGAGATTTTAAATGAGCAAATACATATAATATAGCCACATGGAGTACATGCTAATATTATGAGGATACTCAGCAAATTATAGTGTTTCACAAAATATTTGTATTTTTAAAATAAACAAGAAATATCTAAGAAATAATTTAGGTAACAGGACAGTATGTTAATATTGACAATCCCAGTCATCATTACAATATCATCAAATATACAGAAAAGAAAATGGGACCACATGCTTTAGGTCATTTCATTGCCTTCAGAAGATCCAGATGTTACAATATCATGTTGAAAATTGTGGAATTTTCCCAGTTTTTCAGAGGGTGGACTGTGTTAGGGTAACAGGACTGAGTGAAAACCTGGGGACACGACTAAAAAGTGTATTTTACCTAAAATATTATAGATTTATTTTGAAATAAATGTATTTAAAGCACAGATGAAATGTGGAGGTACAAAAATGCTAAATAAAAATGACTTCTGAATGATTTTAAATATTTCATGTTAAAATGTTGTGTTAGAGACTGGGGACATGTAACAAACTATGTTTTCAGTGTTTTAGGTAGTTTATATTAAATTTTTTAAATTATATATTTTAAATTTACAGTTAGATTAATGTGCAGGACACTTTGCTTAATAATAAAATATATTTTAAAGTTACTTTTCATGCATAAATGTACATATAATGTCCTGGGGACAGAAATGGCACCCATTCGGTGGAATGGCCCATATGCAGCAATGTGACATTCATATATTTAAACATGATATGATATATTATAGTTATATTATACTATATATTATATTATCTTATATTAAAATTATTTTACAGTATTTACAACTAATATTATACAATGGATATTATTTAATGCAGGCTGGTCCATGCTCATGGCTGGATATGCAACATTTTATTGGTGACCTTATGGCTGCGAATGCTTCAGTCACTGGACATCCACTGAGAGAGCAACGTACTGAGGAGACAGTGAGTTCTGCTTGGCTCAAAGTCTCTCATCCTCCCCAGTCCACCCCATCCAGACAGAGCCGGGTGAAAAGTGCTGTTCAGTTTGGTCTGCATTCTGAGGAAAGGGAAAGGGAACTCAGACACCATGAAAGCAATGGTGAGTATATTAAAATAGACTGTAAGGTTGCTGTACCGCTGTGTTATAAATACACTTTATTCTCATGAAATAGGATTGGGAAACATGCAGAATTGATTGATTCCTGGTAACAGTTTCAATTATTTTAGTACTTCAGAAGCATTTACTTATTGCATCTACTTGCCTCTGAAGCCTGTTGCCAAATGATGAGATTATTTTAGATTTCAACAGAACAGATACAGCACATAAAAATACATTTATACATTTAATATATATCAAAATACATTAACAAATTATTCTTGCTGCAGAAGTTGAGTTCACAGGCTTTCTAATGCAGATCAGACACCCCATATGCAATCCAGTCCTAACTATATATTAATATATATATTAAGGAAGAGATAATAATTATAATATTATGAGTCAGTAGGTCATTATCATAAAATAAACCCAGAAAGGTTGATTAGAACCTTCTTCTGAATAACAACCGGTTCTCTGTTCCCAACCCTGCCAGGAAATAGTTTAATATTAAGTTTCATCATGTTTATCTATCTTCTACTCACTGCTTCATTGATTTATATTGACTCATTTTCTGCATTCTCATTTCTCTCTTTTGTAGTTCAGCATCGTGCCTGCACATGTTCTGGCTGCCCTCTTTCCTCATCTCCTTCTAGTTCCTCAGTCCACACCCTGAAACCCAGAACCAGCCCAGCCTCACAGATCCAACCACCTTCGTCCCCCCAATCCACCCCACCGCAGCAGACCAAAGAACCCAGCCCTGCTCCTGTCAGCCTGGGCTTATGTCTAGGTTTGGGTCTCTCTCTGGAAGAGGAAAACACAGAGCCCAGCAGCACATCTGCTCACCCCCAGCAGGAAGACAAAGGCACTAGCACCCATAGCCCAATCCCTCAGGCAAATTCCGAGTCCCCCGGTGTTCCACCAGTTCAGGCCTTTGCGTGTCTATGCTGCCACTGTGGGTTTCAAACCTGTAGCCAACTTCTACGCCAACAAAAGGACCCAGAGGCACATGTTTCCCATCACCACTACCATCACCACCACCATCACTGCCCTCTCTCCACCTGCACGTCATGTACGCTCCCGTCCTTTCCTTGCCTGTCCTGTCAGCGCACCTTCCCCACCTGCGCCCAGCTCCTGCGCCATCAGCAGGGCCACACGCAACAGGAGGGCTTGCAGCAGCTCCCATGCATGCACTGCAATGCTTCTTTCCCTAGGCCATCGCAATTGCTGCAGCACCAGCGAACCCAGCATGCATCCAAAGTGGGTGGCTTCCTGTGCGCCGAGTGTGGCCGTGCATTCAACTCGCATAGCAATCTGCGCATCCACCTCAACGTACACACAGGTGCCCGGCCCTACAGCTGTACCGACTGCGGAAAGAGCTTCAGCCAGTCCGGGGCGCTTAAGATTCACCGGCGAATTCACACCGGAGAGAGGCCGTACACCTGTACTTATTGCGGGAGGGGTTTCCCTCACTTAGCTGGGGTGAGAGCGCATCAGCGAATTCACACGGGGGAGAAACCGTACCGCTGCGGTCAGTGTGGGAAGTGCTTTACTCAGTCCGGGGCTCTGAAGATCCACACTCGCATCCACACTGGCGAGAGGCCTTTCGTGTGCGGCCTCTGTGGGAAGAGTTTTTCAAACCGTTCTGGTATTCGCTTTCATCACCGCACGGTTCACGGGATCGTGACGGAGCCCAACTCGGTGGGCAGGCCTAGTCTGGCTGCCTCTGCATCGTCCTCAGTTTCAGATTTCCAGAGAATTCAAGCCTCCGGTCTCAACCAGATCCATCTCCGGGAGATGGAAGAGAGGAGTCCGCCAAGTAAAGTGCAGTTAAGAGGGGATGGGGACAAAGAGGCCCTTCCATATACCTGCGAGGACTGCGGTCAGCGTTTTCCAGATGCTCCGTCTAGAAACAGACACCAGACATTGCAGCACTACTCTAAGGAAGAGAGGGAAAAGGAAGAGAGCAACTCAGACAAAACTATAGATTAGACAAAAACAACAAACATTTCTGACTCCAAAAGAGAGGGAAGATAAAAGCAACTTTAATATAAAATGTATTAAAGCAGATGTTGAGCCCATTTGAAACCTGCTGATATCAGTCCTCTCACACTCTTAAGTCATGATGTAAGAAACATTGTTTGTGTCCAAGACGCTATACACTTTAATTGAGAATGCTGTCTAATTTATATCACACATTTAAGCTAAGCTTTTAAAAAATTGCAGTGTACACTACAATCTCCGGGCTCACAGTGTGCTGGACACCAGTATTTTATTTTATTGTCTAGCCATCTGAGATTTTGGTATGAAGATAAAGCTTAGGATCATGATTTTTTGGTAGTATTACAGCACACTGTGAGTGTACTGAATATTGGCACCATTTGTTGTCTGCTTTTGGCAAACAACAAAGCTTTTGGACCCGGAAATGGTGGCGTGTGATGTCAGACTTAACATTCTAGTTTTGATCACGTAAGATTCTTTTACCTGTGATGTGTGCCTCTAAAAAAGTAAAATTGTGACAACCTGTATTGTGAAACTGCACCATAAAATATAAATAAGTAGCTTTGCCACAAACACATTTCATTACACCAAATACACAAAATAATGTTCTTTTTAGCAGCATCATATGACCCCTTTAAGGTATTTGTGCATAAACATTACCAAACCTGCACTAGTTTTTCCACCATCGGGCCGAAAGGTTACCAGAAAGCAAAGAGAAGATGGCTTGTTGGCAAAGCTCATGAGTCTCCATGTCACTAAAGCAGTTCTTCAAGCATGATTCTCCTGGCCTGAGGACGGTTAGATAGATGTGCTGAGAAATCCACAAATGGAATGGTTTGTATTTGTACTTTGTACTTAACGCGACTCGTACCACAACTGGTATCACTTACAGCCATTCAGCCTGATAATGGAAAAGTGCTTTATTTTACATTTTAGCACTGTATATTTGTATGTGGGAGTATTTTGCAGTTTTGCAAGTTTTTTTTTTAAAAGCTTATTATATTTCTTTTTAGTTTAACAAACTTCTGATGCTGTTTTGATAATGAACTGGGTCATTAAGAAAAGGTGCTGATTGGAGGGCCGCATGGTGGTTCAGAGGGTAGCATTGTCGCCTCACAGCATGAAGCAAGGCTCGAAATTGCGACCATTTTGGTCGCATATGCTCCCGAAATTTAATCTGTGAGCCCTCAAAAAAAGCAGTGACTGAGAGATTGACAGCTAATATTAACCAATACAAAATCTGCATGCTCCTAAATTTTTGCTGGTGCTCCTAACTTTTTGAAGTTGGGAGCACCAGTGCTACCAAGTAAAAAAGTTAATTTCGAGCCCTGTGAAGGTCACCAGTTTGAGCCTGAGGCCTTTCTGTGTGGAGTTTGCATGTTCTCTCTGTGTTGCCGTGAGATTCCTCTTGGTGCTCTGGTTTCCCCCATAATCCAAAGTCATGCAACATATGTTAATTGGAGCAGCTAAACTGTCTGAAGGTGTGAATGTGTGGTGGATTGGCCATCTGTCCGGCCTGTGGCCCAAGATGCTGGGATAGGCCCCAGTATCCCCACAACCCTAAAGAGGACAGGCGGTTTGAAGAATGGATGAAAATGGTTTCAATTGGTTTCTTAGGTTTTAACTCAAGGGTTTAAGCCTGACATTGACAGAGCACAGTTCTCTGCTGAGGTAGCAGTGCCCTTCTTTCTGACTGTCTTAATGGGTATCTTGAAAAGCACATGCAAACTAAAAGACAAAATCTTTAGATTCTGGCTTCAAAAGTCAAATATGGCCATCGAGATTATTCATCACACATGAGAGTGTGGTTGTAGAATTAATGTGTTTTTTAAATTAAATGATGCTCTTACCATATTTAAAGTCAATTCAGCTTGTTGTGTGGGGATGAATATTATGACCTTATCAGTGTTCCAGGTGTTGCTTACTGTATTTGTGGTCTCTGCAGGGACTGACAGTACACAAGACTGCATGAAGTGAGGGGCTGCCATTTTTACAACTGGCCAAAGGGTTGTTGTTAAAGATATCTGTAAGTATTATCACTTAGAATTAAAGTTTGGCAACACTATCAGGGGAAATGAATTGTACATTATTTTTGTATCTTTAAAATTACACTGTTGATACGTGAACCCTCCTTATGCAGTATTGTGAATGTTGTTGGTCAATGACCTCTCAACCCAGAGCATCAGATACGTCTTGTACATCTGTCAGTTTAGCTCTATATAAGTCTATATGTGCATTGTGTACACATATGTCAACAAAATAAAGGTTGATGTACCTTTTTTGGAATTAAAATTTTAAGAGTTCGGAGTTTATATGTTCAACTTTATGACTCTAGTGACACCAGTTTGGTTTACTGAGGTATTCTGTTTTGTTGATTAACTTTTATCTGTAACATTTGTGATTCATTTTAGACCAGAACCCTTGAACCATGTCTTGGGGTTAAATATTCTCATTATAAGACATGAAGCTTTGTCTACAACAAACAACAAGTAGCCTCCTACAGATACATTTCAAAACTACAATTATAATTGCACTTCCTAAAGAATTCACCTTTGCTGAGTCATCTACAGTCACCTGTGATTATTTGAAATTACTGTAAGGTCAATGAACTTTAGACTAGGGAATTTCCATTGTTCCCTACCTACTGTTCTGCCCTCTTCAAATTTCCTAGGCTATGTATTATTTAATGGCCTACAACTAAGTACATTCTAACCTGCATGTTTATTATTTTACTTCCCTCCAGTTCAGTGGCAGTGACCTGGGTCAAGGTTTTTTTTTTTTTTTTTGCTGGTAAGAGAAGATTCACTCCAGATCTATTTACGCGCATGTAAAGTGTTTCTTTTAAAAATGTATTAGACTTAACATGACCTTTTGGTATTCACAAATCATTTCTTCTATTCAAAGAAACCTTTGCACAGGGATGCATTATGCATATATATACAAATTACATGCAAACTATCAAATGTTTGCATCGACAGCTCAATGAAATGAAAGGTAAAGAGAATCCATTAACCATAGCTATTCATATAAAGTAAAAAAATCACATAGACCTAGTCTCTCAGCAATAATAAACATCATACCCAGCAGCTGCGGTTGAAATAGCCACGCATTCAGTTTGTTATGAAATGATAGAATGGTAAGGTAAAATGACTTTAAGGATGTCATGACAAATTTAGGTAGGCTACAATAAACAGTTCTAAATGTATGGAAGATTTCAAACATTTTTTCAGTATCTAAATGTAACGCGTCACCTGTCTTAAAATACTTTTTAGAAAGGAATTGTGGTCTCTTGAGGAAGTAACCGCAACATTGGCAAATTTAAGTAGTCCTGGCATTATTTATTGCTTTATTGCAGATCACAAAAATGAAACAAAACATTTAACGTCTTGATAGGCGCCAGAAGAAACAGAAGTGCTTTTTCATTAAATTTCACTCGCACCTTCTGAACACTAATTGGGCTAGATACAAGTGACGCATACGCTTATTTGGATGAGGTGTTGTTAGATATGTTTTGATACCATGGCTTAAGATAGTGTTGTCTCTAAGTATTTTTATAATATGACAGAACAAATTAAGAACAAATAAATGTATTTGAAACATTATATTAGTGCATAGTTGTATCTTTGTAATAAATAGGCTGGTTACAAACCGAACAATAGCACGGTAAGTTGTCGTGCATGCTCCACCTTCTTCCGCGCTCATAAATTGTGTTTACAAACTTTCATTTCGACAGAACTTGCTCTCAAACGCAGAAGTCAAGATCCTTCAAAATGAGAGGCTATATTCTCATCACAATCGTGGCGGTCACCTTTCTCCAAAGATCCACAGGTATATAACATTTTGCTTGTTTTTGCAAAACTATTCTTTTTAACGCCTTTCACGGTTTCAGCCTAGAATAAATGTTATAATACCAAACTCAATCTGCCAGTATATCTGTAAAAACAAAATAACTAGGGCAGAGCTAAGATGTTACAATTTTATAAAGTTTTTTTTATTTTTTATTATTGTTTTTTATTGTATTATTTTTCACTTAGCCTTTTCTTGTATTTCTGGCCGACGTTTACACTAAAGCTTGCACAAACGAAAATGTATCTAAACGTTCAGAATTGCACACCTCAGAATCGAATTAGTCTGAACTATCAACAGTTTCCTTCTTCAGGGGTAATCCAGGGTACTGTTGCAGTTAAGTGAAAACGAAATTCTTCCTGTTTGCGAAACGTTACAGAGTCACAGAGCCCAAAGCATCATATTAAGCAGAAGATATGTTAAGGAATTTGCCACCTCACCTAATGCACACTATCTTGACCATCCAGTTAGACAACATTTGAAGGAAACTGTTTTTGTTCAAAAGCACGTTCATGTTTGCTTGACAATAAGAATGGTTTCATTAATATTGCACGTGAGACTTTAAGGCAAAAAATATACCTGTGTTTCTGTAATTATACTATGCTTTACCTTAGTTTTAACAACAGTGCGCATCAGATAGCATGTAAATATGCTTTCTCATGTTCCTGTTGGTGTGCAAACAAAATATACAGACCAGGAAGTTTAGAAAAAATAGAGCATATTCTGGAATATTACATATAGGCTAGTTACATAAACACATAAGCTGATTTATGTTATAAATATCAGACGAGTGACAAAAAGCAGCTGCCTCCGTATGAGATACTAAACAAATTCTGTTGGGTATCCCGTATGGATGGAATTGTTGCATTATTCTATAAACCTAGTAAATTCGACATTGTTTTGTTTTACTATTCTTACTATTCTTTTGTGTTATTTTACTGTTCTTCAGCTTCTTTGGAGGTAAACGGTCCATCTGAGCCCATTCTGGAAGGACAGGATGTGACATTGGAGTGTTTGGATACAGAATCCGAGTTGAACATGAGCACAGTGCACTTTGAGAGGTACTCCAAGGTAAGGGCACTTACACACAATGGCAAGGAAAGATCTGTGACACAATGTGCTTTGATGTGCATTTGTCTGTAAATGTCAAGGAAACAGCAGATTGAAACTGAAATGACACCTTGTTTGTCATGGGAATTGAGAAGGGTTTGGGTTATTGTTGCTGTCTGTGCATGTCCTCTGCAGTGCTGCAGGCCTGAATACTGTATAAACAAAAAGTGAGAGATCTAAAATTACAAACAAATCTGTCAGGGACGCTTACTCTCAAATATCAACACAACTGCTCATGATTTTGTAAACAATCCTATAGGGAAATATCAAATCAAGAACAATAGCATTATTTTGAATTTATTTGTCTGGAGATCAAGACTGCAACTGGTATTTAAACAGCAGGAGGCAGTGTGTGTTTTACTGAGCTTCTGAGAGCTGTTATTCTGGGTTTAATTAGTATCTGGCAGTGAGGGGCCTTTGGAGGATTCACAGCATCTGCTGCTTCTGTCAGCGCAGAGTCTGTTTGTCACCTTTTCCAGCTATCTAAACGCATTCGAGCAAAACATGGTTTCCATACCACCAATCACAAAGACAGATGTTTTGTTTTGCAATCTCTCATTAACCTGTGTTAGTGAGACC